ACCTGGAATCCACCAAAAAAAGGCGGAAAAATGCAGGGTTTGTGCCAATTCTGCTTTCTTGGGGTCGAAATCCCTCAGGGGGAGCCTCCAAACTCAGGAAAGATGGGAATTTTCACCCAAATTTTGCACCCAAAATCCCTCGGAGTGCTTCAAAATCTGCAAAACTCCAGGAATTGGGAGCGGTTTTGTTGCTTCGGGGGGCCAAAAAAAGGCAGAAAAATGAGGGGTTTATGCCAATTCCAGCTTTTTTGGTGTGGAAATCCCTCAGGGGGTGCCTCAGAATTTGAGAAAAATGGGAATTTTCACCAGTTCAGCTGCTTTGGCGCCCAAAATCCCTCAGGGGATGCTTCAAAATCCACAAAAAAATGGGAATTTGGAGCCATTTTGTTGCTTCAAGGGCCCCAAAAAATGACAGGAAAATGAGGGTTTGCAGCAATTCCGGCATTTTGGTGTCGAAAACTCTTCAGAAAACCCCTCAAAATGTGGGAAAAATGAGAATTTTCAGTATTTCAGCTGCTTTTGCACCCAGAATCCCTCAGGGTGCCTCAGAAGTCCTGGAAAACTGGGATTTCCGAGGTGTTCAGTTGCTCTCCAAGCTGAAATCCATCAGGAGCAGCAGAAAAAGGTGGAAAAACGAGGGGTTTGTGCCAATTCCGGGTGTTTTGGTGTCAAAATTCCTCAGGGAGTGCCTCAAAATGCAGGAAAAATTGTGAAAAACGGGAATTTTCACCAATTCAACTGCTTTTGCACCCAAAATCCCTGAGGGTGTTCAGAATGTGGGGGAAAAATAATGGGAATTTGAATCATTTTTGCTGGGTTTTGACTCAAAATCCACAAGGGGGCGACAGAAAAAGGCGGGAAAATGAGGGCTCCTCATCGACACTGGTGAAATCCCTCAGAAAACGCCTCCAAATGTGGGAAAAATTGTGAAAAATGGGAATTTTCACCAATTCAACTGCTTTTGCACCCAGAATCCCTGAGGGTGTTCAGAATGAGGGGAACAATAATGGGAATTTGAATCATTTTTGCTGGGTTTTGATTCAAAATCCACAAGGGGGCGCCAAAAAAAAGGCGGGAAAATGAGGGCTCCACGTCAACACCGGTGAAATCCCTCAGAAAACGCCTCCAAATGTGGGAAAAATTGTGAAAAACGGGAATTTTCACCAATTCAACTGCTTTTGCACCCAAAATCCCTGAGGGTGTTCAGAATGTGGGGAACAATAATGGAAAAATTGTGAAAAACGGGAATTTTCACCAATTCAACTGCTTTTGCACCCAAAATCCCTGAGGGTGTTCAGAATGTGGGGAACAATAATGGGAATTTGAATCATTTTTGCTGGGTTTTGACTCAAAATCCACAAGGGGGCGCCAAAAAAAGGCGGGAAAATGAGGGCTCCACATCGACACCGGTGAAATCCCTCAGAAAACGCCTCCAAATGTGGGAATTTGCACCAATTTTGCTCATTTTTACCCCAAATCTCAGGAAAGGTCAGAAAACCTGAGGGAAAACAGGATTTTTTTAGCTGTTTCTCAGCAGCCGGGAGCTCTCAAAGTGTGGGGGAAGGCCGGGGGTTGTGAGGGGTTGCTGCGCTTGCAGGCCCGGCTGCAGCAGGCGCAGCAGCAGCTGCAGCAGCAGCTGGAGCAGCTGGCGGAGCTGCGGGAGCTGGAGGCGTCGCAGCGGGAGCTGCTGGCCGAGCACGAGGAGCGCATTCACCTGCTGGAGATGGAGCGGCGCCGCCTGCACAACGACATCCAGGAGCTCAAGGTAGGCCCGCGGCCTCTGAGGGGTGAACCCCGGGTTTTGGGGGTTGTTTCTGGGGAATGTCCAAGTGTTCTGTGTGAGGTGAGACTCCTGGAACTGCCCCTGAGGGGTGAATACCGGGTTTTTAGGGGTTTTTCTGGGGAATGTTTGTGTGTTCTGTGTGAGTTCCTGAGGGGAGGAATCCCGGGTTTTGGGGTTTTCCAGGAAAACATGCAAGTGATCTTTGTGAGGGGAGACCCCCGGTTCCTGAGGGGGAGAGACCCCTGGGAGTGTCCCTGAGGAGATGAATCCCGGGTTTTTAGGGGTTGTTTCTGGGGAATGTTTGTGTGTTCTGTGTGAGTTCCTGAGGGGTGAATCCCGGGTTTTGGGGTATTTCTGGGGAATGTTTGTGTGTTCTGTGTGAGGGGACACCCCTGGTTCCTGAGGGGATGGATCCCGGGTTTTGGGGTTGTTTCTGAGGAATGTTTGTGTGTTCTGTGTGAGTTCCTGGGGGATGAATCCCGGGTTTTGGGGGTTGTTTCTGAGGAATGTTTGTGTGTTCTGTGTGAGTTCCTGAGGGGTGAATCCCGGGTTTTGGGGTATTTCTGGGGAATGTTTGTGTGTTCTGTGTGAGGGGACACCCCTGGGGGTGAATCCCGGGTTTTGGGGTATTTCTGGGGAATGTTTGTGTGTTCTGTGTGAGGGGACACCCCTGGAACTGCCCCTGAGGGGATGAATCCCGGGTTTTTGGGGTATTTCAGGAGAATGTCCAAGTGTTTTTTGTGAGGGAAGACCCCTGGTTCCTGAGGGGGAGAGACCCCTGGGAGTGCCCCTGAGGGGATGAAAACCCTGAGGGGTTTTTAGGGGTTGTTTCTGGGAAATGTCCGAGTGTTCTGTGTGAGGGGAGACTCCTGGGACTGCTCCTGAGGGGTGAATCCCGGTTTTTGGGGGTTGTTTCTGGGGAATGTTTGTGTGTTCTGTGTGAGTTCCTGAGGGGTGAATCCCGGGTTTTTGGGGTTGTTTCTGGGGAATGTTTGTGTGTTCTGTGTGAGTTCCTGAGGGGAGGAACCCTGGGTTTTGGGGGTTGTTTCTGGGAAATGTCCGAGTGTTCTGTGTGAGTTCCTGAGGGGATGAATCCCGGGTTTTGGGGGTTGTTTCTGGGGAATGTTTGTGTGTTCTGTGTGAGTTCCTGAGGTGTGAATCCCGGGTTTTGGGGGTTGTTTCTGGGGAATGTTTGTGTGTTCTGTGTGAGTTCCTGAGGGGAGGAATCCCGGGTTTTTTGGGGTTTTCCCAGGAAAACATCCAAATGTTCTGTGTGAGGGGAGACCCCGGTTCCTGAGGGGATGAATCCCGAGTTTTTAGGGGTTGTTTCTGGGGAACACCCGAGTGTTCCGTGTGAGTTCCTGCCGGGGGAGGCCCCTGAGGGCTGAATTCCAGCTTTTGGGGTTTTTTTCTGAGGAATGTTTGAGTGTTCGGTGTGAGGGGAGACCCCGATTCCAGAGGGGGAGAGACCCCTGGGAGTGCCCCTGAGGGGATGAATCCCGGGTTTTTGGTGTTTCCATGGAAACACGGGCGTGTTCCGGGTGTGAATCCCCATTTTTGCTGTTTCCATGGTAACACGGGCGTGTTCCGGGTGTGAATCCCCGTTTTTGGGTGTTGTTCCAGGGTAACACCGGCGTGTTCCGGGTGTGAATCCCCGTTTTTGGTGTTTCCATGGAAACACGGGCGTGTTCCGGGTGTGAATCCCCGTTTTTGGGTGTTTCCATGGTAACACGGGCGTGTTCCGGGTGTGAATCCCCGTTTTTGGTGTTTCCATGGAAACACGGGCGTGTTCCGGGTGTGAATCCCCGTTTTTGGGTGTTGTTCCAGGGTAACACCGGTGTGTTCCGGGTGTGAATCCCCGTTTTTGGTGTTTCCAGGGTAACCTGGGCGTGTTCCGGGTGTGAATCCCCGTTTTTGGTGTTTCCATGGTAACACCGGCGTGTTCCGGGTGTGAATCCCCGTTTTTGGGTGTTTCCATGGTAACACCGGCCTGTTCCGGGTGTGAATCCCCGTTTTTGGGGTGTTTCCATGGAAACACGGGCGTGTTCCGGGTGTGAATCCCCGTTTTTGGTGTTTCCATGGTAACACGGGCGTGTTCCGGGTGTGAATCCCCGTTTTTGGGTGTTGTTTCAGGGAAACATCCGTGTTTTCTGCCGCGTGCGGCCGCTGCTGCCGGAGGAGCGCGAGCGCCAGCGGGGGCTGCCCCACCTTCACTTCCCCCCTCAGGATCCTCGCAGCCTCGTCCTCACCCGCCCTGACGACGTGAGTGCCCAAAATCCTCGTTTTTCTCCTCAAAAATCTCCTCTCCTTCCCTCCAAACCAACTTTTTGTGGTTTTTCTCCTCAAAAATCTCCTCTCCTTCCCTCCAAACCAACTTTTTGTGCCTTAAAAATCCCCCTTTCCCCAAAAATTCCCTTTTTTTCCTCCCTCCAAAATGGATTTTTTCCTCTCAAAAGCGTTTTTTTCCTCTTAAAATTCCTGCGTTTCCCAAAAACTCATTTTTTCACCTCAAAAATCGCTTGAATTCCCTCAAAAATTCTTCTTTTCCCCAAAAAGTTGTGTTTTCCTTTTTAAAAATCGATATTTTCCCTCCAAAAACGGTTTTTGTTGCTCAAAAATGCGTGATTTCTCAAAAATTCCTTTTTTCACCCCTCAAAAATGATTTTTTTTTTCCTCTCAAAAATCCCTGATTTCCCAAAAAGGTTTTTTTTCCCTCAAAAATGTCATTTTTCCCTCAAAAATCCCAAATTTTCCAAAGAAATTCTCTTTTCCACCCTCAAAAATTTCCTTTTTTTTCTCAAAAATCCCCAATTTTCCCAAAATGTCATTTTTTCACTTGGAAATGTCAGATATTTCCCTCACAAATGTCCATTTTTACCTCAAAAATGTCATTTTTTCCATAAAAAACCCTCTTTTCCCCTCATAAATGGGGTTTTTTCCCTCAAAAATCCCCAATTTTCAAAAAAATTCTCTTTTCCACCCTCAAAAATTTCCTTTTTTTCTCAAAAATCCCCAATTTTCACAAAAAGTTGTGTTTTCTACTTGGAAATGTCAGATATTTCCCTCAAAAATGTCCATTTTTACCTCAAAAATCCCCAATTTTCACAAAAAGTTGTGTTTTCTACTTGGAAATGTCAGATATTTCCCTCAAAAATGTCCATTTTTACCTCAAAAATGTCATTTTTTCCATAAAAAAACCTCTTTTCCCCTCAAAAATGGGGATTTTTTCCCACAAAAATTCCTAATTTTCAAAAAAAATTCTCTTTTCCACCCTCAAAAATTTCCTTTTTTCCCTCAAAAATCCCCAATTTTCCAAAGAAATTCTCTTTTCCACCCTCAAAAATTTCCTTTTTTTTTCTCAAATATCCCAAATTTTCCCAAAATGTCATTTTTGCTACTTGGAAATGTCAGATATTTCCCTCAAAAATGTCCATTTTCACCTCAAAAATGTCATTTTTTCCATAAAAAGAAATTATTTTCCCCTCAAAAATGTCATTTTTTCCATAAAAAAAATCATTTTCTCCTCAAAAATGGGTTTTTTTTGTCAAAAATCCCCAATTTTCCCAAAAAGTTGTGTTTTCATCTTGGAAATGTCAGATATTTTCCTCCAAAATGTCCATTTTCACCTCAAAAATGTCATTTTTTCCATAAAAAAAAATCTTCTCCCTTCAAAAATGTCATTTTTTCCCTCAAAAATCCCCAATTTTCCAATAAAATTCTCCTTTCCACCCTCAAAAATTTCCTTTTTCCCACAAAAATCCCCAATTTTCACAAAAAGTTGTGTTTTCTTCGTGGAAATGTCAGATATTTCCCTCAAAAATGTCCATTTTCACCTCAAAAATGTCATTTTTTCCATAAAAAAAATATTTTCTCCTCAAAAATGTCATTTTTTCCCTCAAAAATCCCCAATTTTCCAATAAAATTCTCTTTTCCACCCTCAAAAATTTCCTTTTTCCCTCAAAAATCCCCAATTTTTCCCAAAATGTCATTTTTTCACTTGGAAATGTCAGATATTTCCCTCAAAAATGTCCATTTTTACCTCAAAAATGTCATTTTTTCCATAAAAAAAAATAATTTTCCCCTCATAAATGGGTTTTTTTCCCAAAAAAATTCCTTATTTTCAAAAAAAATTCTCCTTTCCACCCTCAAAAATTTCCTTTTTTTTCTCAAAAATCCCCAATTTTCCCAAAATGTCGTTTTTTCTTCTTGGAAATGTCAGATATTTCCCTCAAAAATGTCCATTTTTACCTCAAAAATATCATTTTTTCCATAAAAACAAATATTTTCCCCTCAGAAATGGACTTTTTTTCCTCAAAAATCCCCAATTTTCAAAAAAATTCTCTTTTCCACCCTCAAAAATTTCCTTTTTTTCTCAAAAATCCCCAATTTTCACAAAAAGTTGTGTTTTCTACTTGGAAAAGTCAGATATTTCCCTCCAAAATGTCCATTTTCCCCTCAAAAATGTCATTTTTTCCATAAAAAAACCTCTTTTCCCCTCAAAAATGGGTTTTTTCCCCCAAAAATTCCTAATTTCCAAAGAAATTCTCTTTTCCACCCTCAAAAATGTCATTTTTTCCCTCAAAAATTCCAATTTTTCCCAAAATGTCATTTTTTCTACTTGGAAATGTCAGATATTTCCCTCCAAAATGTCCATTTTTACCTCAAAAATGTCATTTTTTCTATAAAAAAAAATTATTTTCTCCTCAAAAATGTCATTTTTCCCTCAAAAATCCCAAATTTTCAAAAGAAATTCTCTTTTCCACCCTCAAAAATTTCCTTTTTCCCCTCAAAAATTCCAATTTTTCCAAAATGTCATTTTTTCTACTTGGAAATGTCAGATATTTCCCTCAAAAATGTCCATTTTTACCTCAAAAATGTCATTTTTTCCATAAAAAGAAATTATTTTCCCCTCAAAAATGTCATTTTTTCCATAAAAAAAAATCATTTTCTCCTCAAAAATGGTTTTTTTTTGTCAAAAATCCCCAATTTTCCCAAAAAGTTGTGTTTTCTTCTTGGAAATGTCAGATATTTCCCTCCAAAATGTCCATTTTCACCTCAAAAATATCATTTTTTCCATAAAAAAACCTCTTTTCCCCTCAAAAATTTCCTTTTTTTTCTCAAAAATTCCAATTTTTCCCAAAATGTCATTTTTTCTACTTGGAAATGTCAGATATTTCCCTCCAAAATGCCCATTTTTACCTCAAAAATGTCATTTTTTCCAAAAAAAAAAAAATATTTTCTCCTCAAAAATTTCCTTTTTTCCCTCAAAAATCCCCAATTTTCCAATTAAATTCTCTTTTCCACCCTCAAAAATTTCCTTTTTTTTCACAAAAATCCCCAATTTTCACAAAATGTCATTTTTTCTACTTGGAAATGTCAGATATTTCCCTCAAAAATGTCCATTTTTACCTCAAAAATGTCATTTTTTCCATAAAAACAAATATTTTCCCCTCAGAAATGGACTTTTTTTCCTCAAAAATCCCCAATTTTCCAAAGAAATTCTCTTTTCCACCCTAAAAATGGAATTTTTTCCCTCAAAAATCCCCAATTTTCCCAAAAAGTTGTGTTTTCTTCATGGAAATGTCAGATATTTCCTTCAAAAATGTCCATTTTTACCTCAAAAATGACGTTTTTTCCATAAAAAAAACCTCTTTTCCCCTCTAAAATGACCTTTTTTTCTCTCTGAATAAAATCCTTTTTTCTTTCTCCCCAAAATATTCTTTTTAGACTTTAAAAAACCTTTTTTTTCCCTCAAAAATCTCATTTTCCTCCCAAAAAACCTCTTTTTTCATTAAAAAAAATATTCTTTTTTCCCCCTTAAACCTCATTTATTTCCCAAAAATCCCCAATTCTTTAAAAAAATCTTCATTTTCTCCAAAATCTCCTTTATTCCCCTCAAAATTCCCCTTTTCCCCTCAAAAATCTTGAATTTCCTGATTATTTTCCCCCTGAAAATCTCCTGATTTCCTTCCCAAAATGTCCTTTTCTCCCTTAAAAAATTCCCTTTTTTCTCCTCAAAACCCTTTTCTTTCCCAAAATCTCCTTTTTTCTCCTCAAAAGTGTTTATTTCCCCCCAAAAACTGTCCAAATTATTGTTTTCCCCTCAAAAATAATCTTTTTTTCCTTCAAAAATCCCTTTTTTTCCTCTCACAAATCTCCTTTATTCCTGAAAATTCAGATTTTCCGGCAATATTTTCATTTCCACCTCAAATATCCAATTTTTTCTCTCCAAATTATGATTTTTTTACCCCAAAACTCCCACTTTACCCCCAAAAACGACTTTTTTTCCCCTCAAAATGATCTTTTTTCCCTCCAAAATTTGGTTTTTTACTGGAAAATCAATTTTCCCCCCAAAAATTGGGGTTTTTTATCCCAAAATGTTTTTTTTTTTTCCTCAAAAAAATCTCCTTTTCACCCAAAATCACCTTTTCCCCCCAAAAAAAAACTCCCAAAAAACCAAAATGTTTCTTTTCACCCCAAACTTTTCATTCTAAAATCGGTGTTTCCCTCCCAAAAATCACCTTTTCTTCCCCAAAAAAATTGAATTTTTTTTTTTTTTTGGCTGGAAAATCGCTGTTTTCCCCCAAAATGGGCTTTTTCACCTCCTAAAAATCAGCTTTTTCCCAAAAAAAAGGGCATTTTTTCCCCCAAAATCCCATTTTTTCCCCAAAAATCCTGGTTTTTTTCCCCTTTTTTTCCCTCAAAATCCCATTTTTCCCCTCCCAAATCCCTTTTTTTCCCTTTTTTTCCCCCAAAAATCCCTTTTTTCCCCCCCAATCCCGGTTTTTTTCCCTTTTTTCCCCCCAAATCCAATTTTTTTCCCTCCCAAATCCCATTTTTTCCCATTTTTTCCCCAAAAATCCCATTTTTTTTTCCCCAAAAATCCCGTTTTTTCCCATTTTTTCCCCCCAAATCCCTTTTTCTTGCCCCAAATCCCTTTTTTTCCCCCCAAATCCCATTTTTTTCCCCAAAAATCCCGGTTTTTTCCCTCCCAAATCCCATTTTTTTCCCCCCAAAATCCCTTTCTTTCCTCCCAAATCCCATTTTTTCCCATTTTTCCCCCCAAAATCCCATTTTTTCCCCCGAAATCCCGATTTTTTCCCCTTTTTTTCCCTCCCAAATCCCTTTTTCTTCCCCCAAATCCCATTTTTTTCCCTTTTTTCCCTCCCAGATCCCTTTTTTTCCCCCCAAATCCCATTTTTTCCCATCCCAAATCCTTTTTTTCCACTCCCAAATCCCATTTTTTCCTCCCAATTTTTTTTTTCCCCAAAAATCCCTTTTTTTTCCCTGTTTTTTCCCCCCAAATCCTTTTCTTCCCCCAAATCCCTTTTTTTCCCCTTTTTCCCCTCCCAAATCCCATTTTTTTCCCCCAAATCCCATTTTTCCTTCCCAAATCCCTTTTTTCCCCCCAAAATCCCTTTTTTTTCCCATTTTTTCCCCAAAAAATCCCGGTTTTTTCCCCTTTTTTTCCCCCAAATCCCATTTTTCCCTCCCAAACCCCTTTTTTTCCCCCCAAATCCCTTTTTTCCCCAAAAAATCCCATTTTTTTCCACTTTATTTCCCTCCCAAATCCCATTTTTTCCCCCCAAATCCCTTTTTTTCCCCTCAAATCCCATTTTTTCCCCAAAAAATCCCATTTTTTTCCCTTTTTTTCCCCCAAATTTTCTTTTTTCCACTCCCAAATCCCTTTTTTTCCCCCCCAAATCCCTTTCTTCCCTCCCAAATCCCATTTTTTCCTTTCCAAATCCCGTTTTTCCCCCCCAAATCCCGTTTTTTTCCCTTTTTTCCCTCCCAGATCTTTTTTTTCTACTCCCAAATCCCTTTTTTTCCCATTTTTTCCCCCCCAAAATCCCATTTTTTCCCCAAAAAATCCCGTTTTTTTCCCCATTATTTCCCTCCCAAATCCCATTTTTCCCCCCAAATCCCATTTTTCCCATTTTTTCCCCTCCCAAATCCCATTTTCCTCTCCTCAATCCCATTTTCCCCCTCCCAAATCCCTTTTTTTCCCATTTTCCCCCAAAAATCCCATTTTTCCCCCCAAATCCCAGGTTTTTTTCCCCTTTTTTTCCCTCCCAAATCCCTTTTTTCCCCCAAAATCCCTTTATTTCTCTCCCAAATCCCATTTTTTCCCCAAATCCCATTTTTCCTTCCCAAACCCCTTTTTTTTCCCCCCAAAATCCCATTTTTTTCCCCCAAAATCCAATTTTTTTCCCTCCCAAATCCGTTTTTTTTCCCATTTTTTCCCCAAAAATACCAGTTTTTTCCCCTTTTTTTCCTTCCCAAATCCCATTTTCCCTCCGAAATCCCTTTTTTCTCCTCCCAAATCCCTTTTTTCTCCTCCCAAATCCCTTTTTTCCCCAAAAATCCCGTTTTTTCCCATTTTTCCCCTCCCAAATCCCATTTTTTCCCTTTTTTTCCCCCCAAATCCCTTCTTTCCCTCCCAAATCCCGTTTTTTTCCCTCTTACATCCCTTTTTTTCCAAAAATCCCTTTTTTCCCTCCCAAATCCCATTTTTTCCCCCCAAATTTCTTTTTTTCCCCAAAAATCCCATTTTTTTCCCTGTTTTTTCCCCCCAAATCCCATTTTTCCCCTTTTTCCCCTCCCAAATCCAATTTTTTTCCCTCCCAAATCCCATTTTTTCCCCCAAATCCCATTTTTCCTTCCCAAACCCCTTTTTTTCGCCCCAAATCCCTTTTTTCCCCCAAAAATCCCATTTTTTTCCCTTTTTTTCCCGTCCTAAATCCCATTTTTTTCCCCATTATTCCCCTCCCAAATCCCATTTTTCCCTCCAAATCCCATTTTTCCCATTTTTTCCCTCCCAAATCCCATTTTTCCCATTTTTCCCCCAAAATCCCTTTATTTCCCTCCCAAATCCCATTTTTTCCCTCTCAAATCCCTTTCTTTTCCCCTTTTTTCCTCTCCTCAATCCCATTTTTCCCCTCCCAAATCCCATTTTTCCCCCCCCAAAATCCCATTTCTCCCATTTTTCCCCTCCCAAATCCCATTTTTCCCATTTTTTCCCCAAAAAACCCTTTATTTCCCTCCCAAATCCCATTTTTTCCCTCTCAAATTCCTTTTTTTCCCCTTTTTTTCCTCTCCTCAATCCCATTTTTTCCCTCCCAAATCCCATTTTCCCCCTCCCAAATCCCATTTTTCCCATTTTTCCCCTCCCAAATCCCATTTCCCCCCCCAAAATCTCCTTTTCCCCTCCCCCACGCCGTTTCCCTGCCCCAATTCCCGGTTTTTTTCCCCAAATCCCGGGATTTGCCCCAGTCCCAGGTGGGCCGGGAGCGGCGCGCCGAGCTGCGCTACGACTTCTCCTTCGACCGCGTCTTCCCGCCCGCGGCGTCCCAGCAGGAAATATTCCAGGAAATCCAGCTCCTCGTCCAGGTGAGCGCCCCAAAATCCCCCAGCAGCCCCAAAACCCCCGGAA